GGAGGGATACAGTAGTTAGGAGGTGATGTAGGTGTATGGGGTGGGTGTGTTGGGGGATTATGAGAAGGCGGTACAGGTGGAGTCCTTGTGTACACAGACTGCGAAACCGGAGTATGTGCTGATACAGGTCAGGCAGGGGGCGCTGGCTAATAGAAGGTAGCACTGATGGAGTATTTGTGCCGACAGATGGAGAGAAAGTACTGTAGAGTACACGGATACAGGTCATTGTGTGTGGTGGTTGGGGGTTGGGGAGGTATACAGAGGGTAAGTTTGGGGTGGGGGAGTACTAGAAGGCAGTACTGCAAGAGTCACTTTGTACACAGATGGAGAAAATGGAGAATACACAGACACAGGTGGGGGGTGGGGTGGAGATGAAGGGATTGGTATGGTGGAAGGGGGTTGTTGGGGTGGGGGGTGGAATACAGAGTACAGGGGTTGGGGGAGGGGGAGGTGAGAAGTTGGACCTGCTGGAGTCTCTATGTATACATATGGAGAATACTCTATACAGGGGGGCGGTTGGCGAGTGCTCTGGCATGCTCCTTCTGTCATATCAAATATTAAGTATCATCCTTATCCCTCCTCCTGTTTTTCTTTGTATGTTACTCTCCAGTAGCACATCTAATCTTCCGTACTGATACGACCTATTTGTGTTGCAAGTAACATAAAACTCTTACTAAACTAAGCTAATTAAACTTACTAAAACTGGAACACCTGAGCACATGTATGACTTTTTTTGTTTTGAAAGTACCATAAAACTCTTACTAAACTAAACTAACTAAACTTACTCAAACTGGGAGACCTGAGCACGTGTATGACCTTTTGTGTAGTAAGTGCTGTAAAACTCTTACTAAAACTAATACTACTGTCTCCTGCAGTTGGAACAGCTCAAGTGCCTGCTGATCTCCGGCGAGCTCCCGGACAAGTCTGAGAGGGACGGACATCTGCTGGGTCTGCTCAAGTCAGCTCAGGAGGAGAGGGAGGAGCTGATGAGGAAGCAGACAGAGTGGTCCAACGCCATGCAGGCTCTGGAGAATGAGTGTAGGGACGCTCACGAGGCAGGGGAGGCTCTCCGGGACAGGTTCAGGTGAGAGAGAGAGAGAGAGAGGAGAGAGAGAGAGGAGAGAGGGAAGAGAGAGAGATAAGAGAGAAAGAAGGAGGGGGTGGAGTTGAGAGAGAGAGAGAGA